TAACCAAAAGGTTGGTGGTTCAAACCCACCGGTCAGTCTGCAGGATAAAGAAGATGTGCCAGTCAGCTTCTATATTTACAGCTTGGAAACCCTATGGGGCAGTTCTACTCTGTCCTATAGGGTCACTATGAGTCAGAATCGACTCAATGGCAGTGGGTTTGGTTTAGGATACTGCATCAAGAGAGGGGTAAAGAGGAAGAATGAAAAGTGAATAAAGTCAATAAAAACTGAAGGAACCAGGGTACTTAAAGCACTTTGTTTATTAGCTTCTTTAAGTCCATTTACTCAAAAGTAAAATATTAGCTTACTTCCTTGTTTAAATCTCAGTTCCCAGATACGCAACTATGAAACAAAATAAATAATAATTTTCTCTTCCGCCAAAAATTGCAACTTAAAACCAGCTAGTCATAGAAGGAGTGAGGTTGTTCATGGTAGGTACAAGTGAAAATATTTTGTCACACCTAAAAGAACTAAAATCATACAGGCACTCGAACTATATAAGCCTTCAACTTCTTTTTTTTTTAATCAGAAGAGAGGAACAAGTGATTTCACAGTATGAAGAAAAAATCAATCAATTTAGGATAGGGGAAAAAGGCCACTTGAAGACATTATCCTAAAATAGTTTTTTTTTTTTTCCACCCTCTCTATTTTGTTTTTCATTATTATCTGATGCCTCGCACATGTGACTCTGTCTGAGCATGGTTGTTTTCGTTTCCTACAGCACAGTGGCCATAGATTCTACACAGTTTCACGTGCAAGCACAATCTGTCCATTAACTTTTCTAACGCCCTTCTTCATATCCAGAAAATATAAACAAGCATTTAAAAAGTAAAAATATTTATTTTACCATGAAATATGTAATTTCAAACTCACAAGAAACTGATATTGCACCTTACCATAGGGAAACACAAATAAGAAGCTTATCAAGACCCTATAGTTTCAAACTATTGGAAGAAGTATAACTTGGTGCATCACTTCTGGAAAGAAACTTGGCAGTATGTACTAAGTATGTATCGAAATTATTAAAAACTAGATTCTAGGAATTTATTCAACAGAAGTAATTATGGTGATATTTAAAGATCTATATATTAAATATGTCCACTAAAGTATTGCGTATGATACAGAAAAATTGAAAACAACCTAAATGTTCAGCAGTTAGTATTAATACAGTTAACATTTATTCAACAAATGTGTTGACTGCCTACTATGTGCACAGCATGGTGGACTGGCTAAATTAAAAATGTACTCTTAAAGTACAATACATTCTAATGTATTTAATACAGTTTAAGAAAAATCATATGTTCCCAAATTTATTTATAAATTTAGTACAATTCCATTAAATAACAAGTGGAGTTGTTTTGGGAGAACTGGGGGTGAAACTTGACAAAATGAATCTAAAGTTCATCTGGAAAAGTAAATGTTTGGTAATAACAAAGATTATTTGGGGAAAAAAGAATAATTAATAAAAATATATTACAAAATTTCCAGAATTAAAAGTATGACAAATAAATGGACAGCTCAATTAAACAAACAAAAAGAGTCAAACAACAGACCAAAATATTTCTAATAAGATAGTCTGTGATAATGGTGGTATTTCAAAGATGGATTGTATGAGTAATATTGTTGCAACAATTGGTTCTTTATATCCTAATCTCACATCACCCCCCAAAATAAATTCCAGATGGATTTAAAAAATTAAAGGTAAAAAAATAATAATACTATAATAAAATACATGTGAATATTTACAAAATGTCAGGCGGGAGAACTCTTCCTTAAAATGACATCAAAGGCAGAAACCCAAAAGGAAAAGATTAAATCTTTAGATTTGACTAGAGAGATATGTGTGTATAAAAATTTTAATTAAAAGATAAAATGACAAACTGGGGAAAATTCTGTATCACATGAAAAATGGTTAAAATTTTTAGCATATAAAGACCTCTTACAAATCAGTAAGAATTAACTGCCCATTAAAATGATGTATTATCCCCATTTTACAGATAAGGAACTGAGCCACTGAGAGATTAAGTAAATTATCCAAGACCACAAAGCTGATAAGCTGAGGTGGTAGAACCAAGATTCAAACCTTGTCACCAACAGTCTAAGTCCAAAGTCTATGCCACCTCTCAGAGGATATGAATAAGAAATTTATACACAAAAAAATGCAGATGCACAATAAACAAAAAGTATTTCATTTCACTAGTAATCAAAGAGATAAAAGCTAAACCAAAAATAAGATGCCATTTTCTTCCTACCACATTGGAAATGACTAAAAATAATGATAATAATCAATGTCAGCACAGATGTGTGGAAATGGGTATGCTCATATACTGCTGGTAAGAATACTGGTTCAATTTTTTTGGGAGGGGGCATTTTGGTAATATGAATCAAGTGTCCTTATAAAGCGCCTGTCCAACAATTCTATTTCTAAAAATTTAAGCTAAAAAAATCAGATGGAGCAACAAAGCAGTTTATTGCAATATTGTTAATAATAGTGGGAAATCAGAAAAAACCTTAACTATAGATGATCAGCTAAACTATGAAATGTCTACAAATAGAGTAGTATGCAATCATTAAAATAATGATGTAGAACATATGCTATCATGTGAAAATATAAATGATATGATACACTGTTAAAAAGATTACAAAATATTTGTTACCATACAATCCCATTTTGTTAACAAAAGGAAATATATATTTCATGTATTAAAAATACATAAAATATATAAATTATAGATAGATAGATATAAAATTTTAATATACCTCAGAGTATATAAAACAAAACAAAAAAACCAAACCCATTGCCATCAAGTAGATTCTGACTCACAGAACTGCTCCATAGGGTTTCCAAGGAGCAGGTGGTGGATTTGAACTGCCAACCTTTTGGTTAGCAGTCAAACTTTTAACCACTGTGCCACCAGGGCCCCAATCAAAGTATATAACCACTATAATATTGAGGAGTATATCAAAGTATATACTTCTGAATATTATAGCAATTATATCTGGACAAAGAAACATAGTTTTTTTCTTTTTCTTCATCCATATATGTATTTCCTGAATTTCCTATATGCAATAAGCATTACTTTTGTAGCAAATAATAAAGTTCATTTTAAAAAGAAAAGGTATGAAGGAGAAGAATATTTAATGGCATGGAGAAATGTTTATGATATGTTAATTTCTGAAAAGTAGGTTACAAAACAGCATGTGCAATAGGATTCCATTTTTTCTTTTAAAAATATGTGTATCTAAGTAGAAAAAACTTCAAGGATATAATCACTGTAGGAGGTTTGAGGTATTTCCAGATACCATTATGGGAGAAAAGTTTTTAGTTGTTTTTTTTTTTTTTTTTTCCCTAAATTGTCTCCAAAGACCATGTATTGTTTTTCTAATCATAAAAAAAAAAATGAGAAAGACTATATTTTACCCTTTTCACCAAACCCTAATTCTACCAAAAAATTGTTTAACAAACCTATAAACACGGCTAAAAGTTAAGAATAACATACTGCCTTCATTACTGCCAAAACAGATACTATAGATATGCTAGCTTTTCTATGAAAAGTAAATCTCATAAATGTATTAGTATATTCTGTCCAATCAGAAACTTTACTTAAAGTGATGAAGACCCTTACATGATCTACGCCAAGCTTTAAGTGAGCCCTACAGAGCAATCAAGCAAATCTCTTTGATATGCATCAATCTATTGATAGATTTATCATAAAATAAGATTATTGAAAAATGGTTGAACCGATGATAAAAACAAATGTGCTGACACTGGTCAACAATGTAGCAAGACAAAAAAAATACCACAATTATTTGGCAGTGTGGTATTGCTAAAAGTCCTGGCCTGATTCGTAAGTATGTGATCTTCGGCAGATGAATTAATTTTCTCTACAAGTTTTAGATTCTTCAGTTTTAAGCTTACAGTTAAAAAAAAAAAGATTCTTCCTCTTTAAATTTATACAAAAAATTATACAAATGTAAAGAATTTTCATATGACTAAGCTAATATAAACCCTGGAGTAGCTCCTAAGTATCATCTGCTCAATTAAACACAGATGAAGATGACATCAGACAAAAAGCAGATTTTAAAAAGAAAGAATATGAAGAGACAGAAAATGTATTCTTTATAACGAAGAATTTATTCTATAAGGAATCAAGGCTCAGTAAAACTTAGTAGCTTTTTCCCATTCTCAGAAGGCCGGAAGAACTGGGGACCAAATTTCTGAATTTTGGCTGCTTGCCTCAAGTCTAGCTAATCATCCAGTAGCACTTCTCCACATGGAGAGGCTGATACAGCATCAACAAATTCCTTATCAAAATCAACACTTTCTAACACCGAGAAAATTAAAAATGTTGTAATCTATAAATGGCCCATCCTGTTTTCTTAAAACTTGATCCCAATTGGACACTATTTTTAAAAGTATGTTTTAGAAAGTATCTCTTCACCTCTACTGCATTTTTTTAAAGTTATATATACCTTCTTCAGTCTCCTAGGAAGTTTGCTTGTTCTTGTAATTTTCCATATAATATTTATACACATTCTTCATGGAAATATGCATAATATAGTCATTTTCATTTTCTCCACTAAAGAGAAACCATGCTTGAAGCCTTTTATTTTACAGTACAAAGCTCAAGTCCTTATATTAACTTCCACTAACTCTTTAAAATCTCATCTTCTCTTCCTATCCCGCAGACACATAGACACACAGAGACACAATTTCAGACTTTTTAAAACAGACATTTAAACATAAAAATCACCTGAGAGTGACATTTACTTGTGAGCTATTTGAAAAAAAAAAAAAGAAAAAAAGCTAAGGTAATGAAAGAAAAACATTAGACATTCTAATCAAACTTTGGTAATTTTTTTCCTCTAACACAATGTTATTAACCAAAATAATAAACCACCATTAAAGTAAGTCAATTCTCATACTTAATCATTAGGAAAGAAAAGCAAAAGTCTTAAAAAGCAAAAGTTTTTGCCTACCAAAATATCTTCTTACTTACTGCAAGTTCTCTGGATCTCCCAAGGTTGTTATTCTCCCAATCATCATCAAACCAAACCATCGTCAAACCATCCAAAAAGCACCTTTGTCAAGCACACCATCACTTCAGCTCATAAATAACAACATACTTGGCACAGTACACATAGGGAATAGCCTCAATTCTTAATCAAATACCTCAACTTCAGGAACTAGCTTCTTGCTTTTGTCCTTTGGTGGCCAGTATCTTAAATTGGAAGCCTCTATTGCTCTCATTATTTCTAATTGAAATCATCCTCTACCTCCACACCCTTCCACGAAGGAAACATAGCTTTTATCTTTGTCTTGCACATGCACACCCCAGTGGAGGGGGGAAGAGTGAATTGCCATTTGCGACTTTCTTTCAATAACAAAACAGCAAATAAAAAAGGAGTACTTGCTATTATGGGACGCCAGTACACATTCTACACCCAAGCCAACTATTGAAAAGAACTACACTGTTACCTTAATTGCCTGAAGTATCATATTTTTAAAAGACAGACAAAAACCTCACAACTTGGGGGAAAGTTATCTGAAGGTAAGAGATGCTATATTTGATACCTCACAAGAAGCTTGTATCCATTCTGAATAAAATACTGCAACTTTGCATGTTTGTGTGCTTAGGTTCAAAAAATCAAAATGAATTGACAGAGTTCAAGGTGACATCATTGCCAGCTTCTGTGTAGGTCTTTTCTTAAGAAAGGAGAGAGAGAATGAAGAAGATACTAAGGTTATCTGTGAAGTAAAGACTACGATATTTTGATAGGCAAAGACTTCTGCTTTTTAAGATGGTTAGCAGTTTTTTCAGAAGTCTGCGTTTTGAAAAATGGTTAAAAATTCAAACTAAAATAACAATAGCTAACACTTATAAGGAGTGTATTATGCAACAAACATTATTCTAATTGTTTTACATACATTAACTCATTTGGTCCTCAAAACAAATAACTCATACAGGAATAGGTATTATTATGTAGATATTACTACTATAAACGATGTTAATGGACTCATTAACAACCTGCGATATGCACATGACACAACCTCGCTTGCTGAAAGTGACGAGGACTTAAATCACTTACTGATGAAGACCAAAGACTACAGCCTTCAGTATGGACTACACCTCAATATAAAGAAAACAAAGATTCTCACAACTGGACCAATAAGCAACCTCATGATAAACGGAGAAGAGTGAAGTTATCAATGATTTCCTTTTATTTCGATCCACAATCAACACCCATGGAAGCAGCAGTCAAGAAATCAAATGACGCATTGCATTGGGCAAATCTGCTGCAAAACACCTCTTTAAAGTATTAAAAAGCAAAGATGTCTCTTTAAGGACTAAGATGCACCTGACCCAAGCCATGGTGTTTTCAGTCGCCTCATACGCATGCGAAAGCTGGGCAATTAATAAGGAAGACAGAAGAATTAATGCCTTTGAATTATGGTGTTGGCAAAGAATATTGAATATACCGTGGACTGCTAGAAGGCAAACAAATCTGTCTTGGAAGAAGTACAGCCAGAGTGCTCCTTAGAAACAATGATGGTGAGACTTCATCTCACATACTTTGGACATGTTTTGAGGAGGGATCAGTTCCTGGAGAAAGTCATCATACTTGATAAAGTAGAGGGTCAGTAAAAAAGAGGAAGACCCTCAAGAGTGGATTGACACAGTGGCTACAACAGGCTCAAGCATAACAAACATCATGAGGATTGTGCAGGACCGGGCAGTGTTTCATTCTGTTGTATACAGGGTCGCTATGAGTCAGAACCAACTCGATAGCACCTAGCAACAACAACATAACTACTATCCACATTTTACATATGAGAAACTAGACACATAGAAATTAACTTGCCCAAACCCGTACCCATTGCCATCAAGTTCATTCCGACTCATAGCTGTACTAGTAATGGTAGAGCCAGGGTTTGACATCAATACAATGATTTTTTGGCTAATTACTGTATTAACTTCTGTATTAATCCATAAACCAGGACTCTTTTTATATAGGAAATCTACCAAAGGATGCACTCAATTCTCACGTATGAATGATGACAAAAGAGGCTTATTTTCACAATAATAATTGCTGCTTCTTTGGTAGATTTTTTTAAGTTTAATTTTATCACTACGTTTCTCCATAGATCCCATATACAGCAATATCCCTATAATAGAACAATGAGGAGAATTAGAAAGGAAGCAAAACCCAAAACACATGTTTCAAGATAATACACTAACCTGATTTACTTTTTCTAAAGGAGAATTCCTCAGGGCTTTGCTTACAGTCTGGAAACCCTGGTGGCATAGTGGTTTAGAGCTATAGCTGCTAACCAAAACGCACTCCTTCAAAAACCTATGGGGCAGTTCTACTCTGTCCTTTAGGGTTGTTATGAGTCGGAATTGACTCGATGGCAAAAGATATGGGTTTCTTTCTTTTTTTTTTGGTTTTGCTCATAATCTACTTGCTCTTTGTTTAAACATAATTTTAACATTTTTAATTATTTGAGGGATACGCCTCGATTCAAATCCTAGTTCTACCACTTCTTAGCAGAATGATCTCAGAAGAAGACCAAAGAAGAATTGATGCCTTTGAAATACGGTGTTGGTGAAGCATATTGAATATACCATGGACTGCCAGAAGAACAAACAAATCTATCTTGGAAGAAGTACAGCCAGAATGCTCCTTAGAAGCAAGGATGGCAAGAGTTTGCCTCACATACTTTGGACATGTAATTAGGAGGGACCAGTCCCTGCAGAAGGACAACATGCTTGGTAAAGTGCAGTGTCATTGAAAAAGAAGAAGACCCTAAACAAGATGGACTCACATAGTGGCTGCAACAATGGGCTCAAGTGCAACAACAATTGTGAGGATGGCGCAGGACTGGGTGTGTTTCGTTCTGTTGTGCATAGGGTGGCTATGTGTCGGAACCAACTCGACGGCACCTGACAACAACAACAACATGATCTCAGACAAATTCCTCAACTTCTCTAGGTATAGGTATTTCTATCTGTAAAATAGTCCACCTCGCTGGAGTGTTGCAGGATAAATCCAATTGATGTAATACATGTAAATTCGTATCCCAATGCCTAGCATATAGTAAATGCTCAGTAAATAGTTCTTTGTTATCTAATAAAAATAAACTAATAACACTTAATTCAAAGAGTTATTGTGAGAATTAACAAGCATAATTCATGTAAAACCATGAAGCATGGTGCTGTACAACACAAAGGAGCTCTATAAAATGTTAGTTTTCCCTCTCTTCTTATCTAATTTAACAGCCTAAACAGAATAGAAGTAGCAGAATATAGGAGCATGGGAGGAGGAGTAACATTGCTGGAAGCCAACACACTTATTACAGAGAAATGACAGCTTACAATCTGGAAATACAGACATTGACAGAAAACCCAGAATGCAGATGTAAAAACTCAAAAAGCACAACAGTTTGGTGACCATTCAATACAGAGGTAAATAGCCTCAACACACCTCAACTCAAGAAACAGTTCTGGAATCAACTGTTCACAGTTAAAATCCTTAGCCATCAAGACAAACTGTTAAGATATTAAATTAAAAAATCAGAATGTAAAACTGTATATGGTATAACCTCAACTATGTATACACTGTACCAAAATATTATCAAGGGCTATCTCCAGTAATGGAATTATGGGTGATTTTAATTCTCTTCTTTGACTTTTCTTATGTTTTCCAAATAATAATATAGTTAAATTGTAAAAATAATTTTGGTGCTTAAAGAGGCAGTCTTTAGAAATCTAAGAAATACACAAATGCATAATAGAAGGGTTAATTCATTCTGTATTAAGAATTTCTGGTCCAAATATCCTACATTAATCCTAGAAGAATAAAAGTACTACAAAAATATAACTAATGGGAAAATTGATTCATTGCTGCACAATAAATTTGCTTGAAAAAAAGCTAAAAGTGGTTTTAGAGGTACTATTTTAAATAGCAGGCAATATCAACATAAAGCTTGTAACAGGAACCACATATGATCATCTCTATCTTTGCTTGCAGCAATTCTGACACACCCTCATTTTAAGAGGGAATTTAAAAAAAAAAAAAAAAACAACACTCTAGGGAAAGAGCAAAATAATCTGATAAAACGGAAAAATTTCAAGAAGCATAGTCATAAGTAAGGAGCCCTGGTGGCACAGTGGGTTAAGAGCTATAGCGTGCTAACCAAAAAGGTCAGCAGTTCAAATCTACCAGCTGCTCCTTGGAAGCCCTATGAGGCAGTTCTACTCTGTCCTATAGAGTCGCTATGAGTCGGAATTAACTTGATGGCAATGAGTTGTTTTTTTTTTTTTTCAGTCATAAGTGAAATGCACCTTTTACCGCCTAAAATTTAAAAAAAAAAAAAAATGCTTTAGGCAAATTTAGCTACCAAACCAAACCTCTTGCTGTAGAACTGATTCCGACTCACAGCGACCCCATAGGACAGAGTAGTACTGCCCCATAGGGTTTCCAAGGAGCGGCTGGTGGATAGCTACTACTACATATATCATCACTGACACTGCACAGCTGAGAAACAGAAAACGTGCCAGCCAAAAAAAAGCAAATTAAAATATCAGAAATAAACCTATGGCAAAATGTTTTCTTTTTGATGTATAGTGTTATCTCTCTTTGTAATTGTCTCACCAAATGACATGTACAATTAGTAGAGATTATGCCAGGGAGCTACACAGCAGATCGTAGAGGACAGGAGGAAATCTCACTTATTTAGAAAAGTGCATCTTCCCAGAAATATAAATCATTTCTCCATTTCTTCATTAATCTGAGGTTTAACTTGAAAGTACAGAAAAGTAGAAGAATAAAAAGGTACAAAGTATTGGGACACTGTAACTCTCAATCACTCTTATTGCTATCGTCATCAGTAGTAGTAATAGTAATAGTATGATGCTAGTACAGAATTGAGACGGGTTAACTGAAACACAGTCACACAGTTAATCTGTAGTAGAATCAGGACTAGAATTTAGATTATGTGCTTTCCTGTTCCCAATTAATATTCAATTAACCCTTTCTATAATTTCCATAAAACTTGACATCTCCTGATCTAATTGCCACTTCAGCTGACTCAGCTGTGACTGTTTTATTTCTTTTCTTGGACTCTGATTGTCAATAGGCTAAAGGCAATGGACAGCGTTAATAACCAGAGACATCTATATTTTGTAATAGAGAGGATAAATCTATATCATGCTTATAAATTGTTTTCTGAAGTGTACTTTATTTTTGGAAAACAAACAAAAAATGCTCTTTGGGTATGCCTTAGTCTCAATACCGTCATTATTGTCGTCTTATTTCCATC